AGAGGCACATAAATTCCTTCAATCATTCTCATGTGTTAACATAGTTAACTTCGTTTAATAGAGTGCTAACGATAACCATTGGCAATAAGTAAAGCGTATCTTACAGCTTGACACAGTTGATTTGCGTATAACAGAATCATAACAATAACTATTAACAGGGGACACATATATCATTACAGTACGCTTAATAAGGACAAAATGATTCACATTCCAACGTAGGTCACATAACGATGTTAGACCTTTACACTCATATTATAGGTTCTGAACGACCTCGGGTCCATGTATAACACAATAGAATAATCTTGGCTTCACGTAGATACTATTATTCATGGATACATTTAAGTTCCATTTATTCGTTAAGAAACGACGTAGCTTGCTTACGAATAACAAAACGTTAACATTAATTATTACTAGTACACTAAATGTACTACATAATACTATTACTCACAATATTGAGGCGGAGCACTAATTCTTCCCGAAGCATGTCCTACACATATATCTAGTCACAAATTAGTTCTTATCTCTGGTTAAACCATTTTCGGACTCGCTTTGCTCTACTGAATTCATCAATATCAAAAATGCACCAAATGCAGATTTTAACAATATTAGAGGGTTAAGCACGTAAAACGGAGGAACCCATCTTTTTCAGCATGGGCCGCACGTGCGGCTGTGAGCCCCACACGTGCGGCAAGGGTTCCCGCACGTGCGGCAGTGATGCCCCGTACGTGCTTTTTAAGCAGTAGCCAAAACCCAGAATTTCTTCATTTCCCGCACGTGCGACCATGACCCCCGCACGTGCGGCAATGACCCCCGTACGTGCGGCGATTCTGTATAGTTTCAGTCCGAAATTTCAAACAAAGGTCCAATTTTTGGTAAGTTTTTCCACGGCTCAAAATAGGTCTTTTAATTGATGGAACATGGTTCAAAAATTATGTACAAAGACATTCAAACCTATATCAAGTTCAATATGAATTGATTCTACAATTCCTCACAATTCATAAACACAAGTTAAACACTTTAAATCCTTTCCATATAATTCCCAAATATATACACAATCATCTAAAGCCTTAGATGAGTTCAAATTTGTGAAAATAAAGAATAGAATGATCTTCTTCTCCATATAACTCAATTTAACTCCAAATCAATTCCATGATAACACATCTTTTAATTCAATCAATACACACCCTAGTTTGCATGATTATCAAAGAGAATCTTGCTCATGTCCAAGAAAGGACTTAATTCAAATGGAATTCACATACCTTGAGCTCTAACTCTACAATCTTCTAAATTTTCCCCAATTCCTTCCTTGAAGAACTCCTCCTCTCAAATTCTTCTCTTTCCTCTCTCTCAGGATATTTTGTAAAGAGCTCTAAGTCAACATTTAAGAGAACATAGATATATATATCAAAAGTGAATAGGACAAAAATTCAATCAATTTAATCATTCCAAATCACATTTTTGCAAAAATGCTTATTATTACTTAAAAATTATGCTGATCTCAGATGTAAGATCAATTTCAGATTATCAAGCCTCTAAGGCTCTCAATTCCTGATCCAAACATTTCAATTGTGACAGATATTCTTCTTATTAAACAGATATAGATCTCTAATCATAAGATCCCTTGCTCAAACTTAATTTCACATAAAATTCCACAGTAAGCATTTAAATGCACAGAACCAAAGACTGAGAGTATACCAGAAACAGATATAAGGGTCGGGTTATTATAGGTACCTTCGTTAAGGATTATGACTGAATGTCAGATAGCAGATGCTGATTGGTAACAAAATCACTTTGAAGAGTTGATGTTATTTGATGAAAGATGGTTGAAAGCACTATATCATGTACAGAGGTACCAGTGCAAGATTACTTGTGGGTTCAATAAGAAGGTTAAGTCTAAGAATCTAAATGAGGGAGATCTAGTGTTGAAGGACAATCGGGCTCCAATTTACGATCCTACGAGCAAGTTCAAGCTTAATTAGACCGGTCCTTATATCATCAAGTTAATTTGGTTAGGAGGAGCGGTTATTCTGATGGATTTAGATGGATTGGAGTTTTTATAGCCGATCAATATAGATAAGTTGAAGAAGTACTATCCCTAAGAGGCTTGCTAGGTCGAAACCCCGAAAGGGCAACCTAGGCAAAAGTTAGAGTAAGAAAAATGAAAATAAATAAAGTGTAGCTCGCAAGGCTGAAAACTTGAAAGACGACTTTAGCAAAAATTAAAGTGCAAAAGGAGAGAGTAAATACTCGAGTGAACCTTAACCATGAACCATGTAAAGCCTGATTTCTATTCCCGGGATACGTAGACAACTTCATTCTGAAGTTCAGCCCCAACCGTTTGCAATACGGTCGTCTTGTCCATGATTGAACGATTCACTTTCAAATCCAGTTATCTAAGTTGCTTTTCTGTGGTAAACGAGGTTATAAGCCAGAACTGATTGGTGACACAATGGTGGAAGAGGTGTAAAGAGTCATATCTGGAGAATTGATTCGAGGTTGTGTAGTTTCAAGGGTTGATTTCAGGTAGGTTAAGTAGTGGTTGTTTGTGAAAATGTATTTGGTTTGGTTTTAACAGATTGACTAATTTTCTCAAACATCTTTGGGCAAAATGAATCTTTCATCAGGCTTGAGAGGAAGCTTTTCAATACCCACAATCTTTCTTACATATTTTCAAAACAAAAGTGGAACAAACATGCTTTAGCTAACTCCCATATTAATTAAAGCATTTTACATCATAAAACTAAGATCAAAGCAATAAACTAGGGGCATAGTCGAGTCAATTCTGTGGCCCTCTCCCTGCATCGGCATAGGCATTGGCATTGGCATTGGCATCAGAAGATTTTGCCACCAAGGAGGCGCCTACATGTGCTTCATTTTCTAGCCAAAGCATGCACTCACGTGAAATAGCATAATTGAAGTCGTCAGCAGGAGCCAAGAGCTCTCTTATCCTCTAGGCAGTTGGGTACCAAGAAAAATGTCTAGCCCAGAGCAGAAATGAAACTGGGTATTCAATCCCATCAGCAAGGCGAGTCTAATAAGATGATTTGTAATTTTTTTTTTAATAGATTAGATGGTTATAAGAGAAAAAATGATTGGTTGATGAGTAAGATGTGATATTTTATTTTATTGATTATGTTGACATTTTTTTGTCTTTGGCTATTTTAACCAAAAAAATTTGGGGAGATTTACGTATAGATCCTAACAAGTGGATTTATTGTCCAATAATTCATGTGATAATTAATGGCGTTTTTTTATCAAACACTATTAAAAAAGTCACTAATTGTTAATTTTCAACAAAAGTTTAAAATTTTGTCACAAAAATGTCATTAATTACAAGTTTTAGCGACAGTTTAAAGAAATCGTCACAAAAAAATTCATTAATTTTCAACTTTCGTCAAAAAAAAAAAAAAAAAACTAATTTTCTACTTTTAGTGATTGTTTGAAAAATTAGTCACAGAAAAATTTATTAATTGTAAGTTTTAATGACAATTTATAAAAATCGTGACAAAAAATATCACTAATTTTTAATTTTTAATGACATATAAAAAATCGTCACAAAAAATTATTTTTGAGTACAATTGTAGTATAACTTATTTTCAATAAGACTTGATGGGAATTAAGTCAATAGAATCTATATGGTAGGGGTGCAAATTTGGCCAGGCCCGACCCACCCAGGCTCAGGTTTGGGCCGGAGGACTGAGCCGCAGGCCCAAGCCAAGTTTGAACATTTATTTTTTTTTTCTACCAAAATTTTTAAAATGAAAGCCTAGGCCCACGGTCCCAGGCTGGGCTTAGGTTTGAGCCTAATTGGGCCGACCTCACCCTAGACCACAGGTGGACTTTAAATTGCTATTTGAGCCTAATTGGGCCGACCTCACCCTAGACCACAGGTGGACTTTAAATTGCTATAAGGCCTTGGGCTATTTTTACAGCCCTACCTATTGGTAGTTCACTCAAAAATTTATTTCTAGATAAGGCCCTAATCACGTAAGGACCACCAAATAGTCCTTCTATTCCAAAATTATTAGTTATTTATTTTATTTTTTATTGTTAAAAAATATCAATTCATTTTAAAAAATTCAGAATTAAAATAATATGAATTTTCTATTTTACCGTTTTTTAAATTTATTAACAACACAAAAGTAGAATCATGATAATTAATATTCTTAAAAAAATACTATTAAAAGATAATTTTTAAAAATTAATATTTTTAAAATGTAATAATTATATTATTAAAAAAATTAAAATTTTTAAAAACAACTATTATTTTAACACGGAAGTAATTTTTCTAATTTTTGAGACACAATGACCTTACATTGGTGTCCAAATTGCGGGAAACAAAGAAATCTTTTTCGTACGACTAGGATTTGGGATTGAGCTTGATTGATGGGTGGTGCAGAGCACGTGGGATTTCGGACTCTGCTTTGGACTTTTCGTTTTTAACAACGATTTCTGACTTTACAACCCACCAAAACATTGGATTCACCTCCTCTCCAATGCTTTACAGTCCAGCTCCCTCCAGCCATTCCACCAAATGGAGACGCGTGGTGACAACGGATCCGGCGGGCGAGAAGGGAGCCACGTTTGTGAAGCTCAAGAAACAAACAAAACGACGCCATGTTCTATCGTTTTGGCCAGATGGAGGTATGTAATGGAAAGTTTTTTTTTTAATTTTTTATTTTGAATTACATATCCAGATTCAGATCCCTTCTCCCGCCTTTTTCATAAATTCATAACCCAATCCCTCATTCCCTCTCTCTCTTTCTCAGAACCCAGCCCCCTATCTACGATTCTGTTTTTTTTTCCATTTATAATCGATCGACGGTAGAAGGCTTCGCCATCCCTGGACTCCATCATTTGAAAATCTTTGTTTACCCAAACAATTGTAGACACCAAAGGTTAGATTTGTAGTAGTTTATTTTCTTTTCTTTTCTTTTTTTGGGTTTAAATCCATTCCAAGTGTATGGTGAAATGCCTCAATGAATCATGGACTTGCAAACATGGGTGTGAATCATGGTGAAAATCTGGAAGTTAGATGCTTATTTATATATGTTTGCTAGTCTGTTTGAGAACCCACCTAAAATTTGGAAGCAATAGTTTTCATGCTTATTTATGTATGCTCATTTATAAATGAGCATATATAAATCTCATTTATATATTTCACTGAACAGATTAGCAATAGTTTGTCTGTTTGAGAACTCATTAACACATGCTCATTTATATATGATGCTCATAAATCTGGTAATTTTAAAAAAACCCACCTAAAATCTGGTATGTATATGATGCTCATATTTCACTGAACATATTTTTTTCACTCTTAAGCAGAAACAGATTTGTCATATCAATCAAGGCTAGGCTTGTAGATACTTCTGTAAAGTTTTTCTATTGATTTAGGAGAAGACAATCATTTTTCCACAAATCAAATATTTAGAAAAAGAAAAAATTGATTTAGTAGATAGTATGAAACAGAACATTAATGTGTAAAACAGAGCCTCAATATCATTTAAGAACATTAAACCATGTATTGCTTTCACATATTTCTTAGATAAAAAATCATGTTTACTTTTTTGCATTTTAGGTATTGGATATATCGAAGATGGATGATTTAACAATTGCTACCCAAATGGATGTTCATGGCGAGGATGATACACAATGTAAATCCATATTAGGTATGGAATTTGACTCTAACAATCAGCTTATGACTTTTATAATTCTTATGGAGGAAGAGTTGGATTTAGTATTAGAAAAGAATATGCTCATAAAAGTAAGATCGGTGAAATTACTTCAAGGACATTTGTTTGTTCTAAGGAGGGTCTTAGAAAATATGATAAAAGAGATTTTGCTGTAAGGATTCCTAGGGAGAAGACAAGGACCGGTTGTGGTGCTTTGATGAGCATTAAATTAATTAGGCAAATTGGGAAGTATAGAGTTATCAATTTTGTAGAAACACACAACCATCCCCTTGTAGTAAGTGCAATTGCTCATATGCTTCCTTCCCAAAGAAAAATTTCCACCTCTCAATATATTGAAATAGATTTAGCAGATGACTGTGGGATACCTCTTAGGTCATCCTATGAGTTAATGGGTAGAGAGGCAGGTGGAAGGGAATGTGTTGGGTTTTTAAAAAAAGATCAAGAGAATTATTTAAGAACAAAAAGACAAAGAATGTTGGAATTTGGTGAAGCATGGAGCATATTGAAGTATTTTCAAGATCAGACGGTACAAAATCCTTCATTCTTTCATTCTGTGCAATTGGCTACTGAAGAGCAAATAACAAATATTTTTTGGGCAGATGCTAGAATGATAATTGACTACGGTCAATTTGGGGATGTTGTAACATTTGACACAACATACAAGATTAATAGAGAGAGCCGACCTTTTGCTATTTTCGTTGGCTTCAATAACCACCGAGAGACCATTGTTTTTGGAGCTGCATTGATGTATGATGAAACAACCGATTCGTTTATATGATTGTTTAAAAATTTTTTAGAGGCAATGTCAAATAAACATCCAAAAACTATTTTCACAGATCAGGATGCAGCAATGGCTAAGGCTATTTTATAAGTGATGCCTAACACATATCATAGGCTATGCACATGGCATATGATGCAAAATGCTGTAAAACATATGAGTGGCATTTTTAGTGGTCTTGGTGGGGTAAGAAGTGTTTTGGGAAAGTTTATAGATGAGTATGAGGAGGAAGAGGAATTTTTTGCAGCTTGGAATGCTATGTTAGATGAGTTTGATGTTTATGATAATTCATGGCTGCAAAGCATTTTTCATTTAAGGAAGAAATGGGTTAGGGCATATGTTAGGTAGACATGGTTAACGGGGATGAAGAGCACACAACTTAGTGAGAGCTTAAATGCTGATTTGAAAGAGTACTTGAGATCAGATTACAATTTGATTCAATTTTTCATTCACTTCGAAAGGGTGCTTAATGAGAAGCGATATAAGGAATATGAAGCTAAGTATGCATTGTCATATAAGTTGTCCAGGATAAAAGTTCAAGATGAATATGTGGGTTCACTTGAGTTATACGTAGCAAATTGTGTTCACAAGGATGATTGTTTGGTTTATATTGTCAAAGCATATCGGCAATCTACAATGCGTGAAGTAAAGAAAGACAAAGATGGTAATTTGTCTTGTTCTTGTAGGTTGTTTGAAATGAAAGGAATATTGTGTAGTCATGTTATTAAGGTTCTTAAAGATGAAATAATCACAATGGAAATTCCAAGCCAATATATCCTGAAAAGGTGGACCAAATTAGCAAGAGCTGAAATTGTCCAAGATTACAAAGGGCGCGACATTCAAGCTAACCCTAAGTTGGAACAGAGCAGCAGATACAAGTCATTGTGCTCCCTCTTTACTATGATTTCATCCCAGCCATCTGAATTGGAAGAAACATATGAAGATTGTGTTTAGGAAGGGAAAAAATTGCTTGCATTTGTTCAAAATAAGTTGCGTATACGTATTACCAATGGACCACTAAACTTAAATGATGCTAGCTCTACAATAAGAACGAATGAGGGCAGTGAAAATGTCATTCAAGCGAAGGGACTGAAGAAAAGGATTGACCCCATTCGTGGAAGGCGACGGATTAAAAGTAGCTTGGAAAAGGACTTGGAGACTTCAAGAAAGAAAAAGCAGCGCGCTTAGGTATTATTTAATTTTTTTTATGATCTTTACATTCTTTAAAATTTTCAATTTATGTTACTTGGTTTCATCTAAGTTTTTATCTTGATAGGATGTACCAGTATCTTCAAATATGCTCCCACATATTCTGACAACCCTCACCTCTGATTAGCATTAAATTGTGATTAAGTATGATAAGTAATTGATTAAGATGAAATCCTAAATTGTTGTGTGAATGTGTTGTTTTAAATGCATTTCTATCTGTTTGTCATTGAATGATCTGTTCATGTTTTAATTTCGAATTGCGAATTGAAAGCCTTATCGGCGACCGATTCAAATATTAATTGGTGTTTTATGCTAATTAGGAATTGTAGAATTTTATGGTAGGTTTAATTAAAATTTGATTTGGAATGATTAAATTAGAATTATTAATGCTAAATTAATTGAGTTTAGGTTATCTACATAATTGCCCTTGAGTGGGCTCCCTCAAAAGCTATTGTTTTAATTCCCATTACTTACATGTTTGGCACCACTCTTCAGCCATCTTCTAGACCAAACTGTGAGAGAGAGAGAGAGAGTTGGAAGAAAATTGATTCATCAAGAGTTTGGCTTGAAATTTAGAAGAGATTGAAGGAGACCTGAAAAATTAGGCTTCTACATTTGGAATTCAAGACTTAAGGTAAGAAATTCATCCCCTTAAATATGAATTTAAGTTGTTACTTGCATGGTTCATGGGAAAATTGACGATTAGAGTCAAGCATTAGCTTAAAGTGTTGATTTGAGAGTCTATTCATACATGCATGTCCATATCAAGGAGTTTTGAAGTTGTTTTGCATGAAATTCTTCCATGCATGTCCAGATTATAGTTGTAATCTAGGGATTCATCATGTTTTTTGGATTTAAGTTGTTACTTGCATGGTTCATGGGAAAATTGACGATTAGAGTCAAGCATTAGCTTAAAGTGTTGATTTGAGAGTCTATTCATACATGCATGTCCATATCAAGGAGTTTTGAAGTTGTTTTGCATGAAATTCTTCCATGCATGTCCAGATTATAGTTGTAATCTAGGGTTTCATCATGTTTTTTTGGATGAATGGCTCATTTGATCATGTGTTAGAAGCTTTGAATTCAAATAAACACATGCATGGCATATTTTCATCATGTTCTTGAATTTTGGGTTGAGTTTGTGTTCAATTGGCATACTTTTGGGCTTTGATTTATAAAATGATCTTCAAAACATGTTGTATTATGAGTTTATAAGTGTTTTCCAGAAAATTGGCCCAAAATGATGAGTTTTGGTATGTTTGATTCTTGGTTTGAGCTTTGGAAGCAAATTTGGAAAACCCAAATTTTGGCTTCTACGCTCGAGCGAAGGATTCCACGCTCAAGCGACCACCTTTGTTCTCAGACTTTGGCTCGAGCGACGGAATGCTGGCTCGAGCATAGATTGCAAGCTCTCAGGTTTTTGCGTGTGTAGACGCACGCTCGAGCGACGAGACCTACGCTCGAGCGAGGAATTGTGTCTCATGCTCGAGCGAGCATCGAGCGGAGAATTTCAGCAACCAATACTTTTTGCATTTTTATAGACTGCTTGAGCGACCTCTCTATTTTGGTAAGCTCGCTCGAGCGGAGAAAGCCACGCTCGAGCGAGACCTCTGTTTTCAGCAAATTTTGAAAAGTGTTTTAAAGTACATTTTTGCATCCTTATTCCATCCTAGGCATTCCTAGGCCAAGTTTAAGGCATCTTAATGAGGATAATGTTATAGAACCACACCAAGTATACTGTGTAGGGTTGGCACCCGAGAACACTGATTAGCCTGCCTATAGCCTAGTAATCTGTGAGTAACAATGTTGTAAAAATACGTTCAATTATAATTATTTCTGAACGACTGACTGTATTGCTTTCTCAAATGAAATTGTTTATTGAATGAATGTTTGTCCTATTTGTAAACTGTACTTGTGGCACCCATAGCAACTTGCTGTTACTGTTACTGTTACTGTTATTGTCATTGCTACTGTACTGTTACTGTTACTACTACTGTTACAGAGATCTCTATCAGTTCCAATGCTTGGGACTACTATTGTTTACTATTTGATGGCCGTCAATTGACTGTTCGGTCTATTAAGATCTACTGTACTATTTTGCTATTGGATGTACCACGTATGCCTACAATGATTTCTAATCGATTGATATGGCATGAAATATGAGCCACTGATTGAATAACTGATCCACTGATGCAAATAACTGTTTTAATTACTAAAAGGACATTCATTCTTAACATCTTTACACAGTTGTTATTCACTAGGCTTTAGTTCACAGTTTATATATGTATGTAGGTGGCCAGGCACTGGACCGAAGCTAGAAGCGTCAAGTTAAGCTCATGTTTTGTCAAGCCAACCATTGTGCCTCACTTCGAGGTTCCGAGTCTGTTCAAGCCAAGGTTGTTTTGGGGTGTTCCGGATTCACCCTTCTGTCTTTGTTATGTAATGAATGTTTAAGACTTTTGACTGTACAGTTATGGTAAAGGGATTGGATCCCTAACCTGTATGTTATGTGTATCTGATATATATATATATATGTTTATGGTTATGAATGTGGACTAGTCCATAAAAGTCCTTTTCCATTCAGATTTTCACAGCTTATTGGACATCTTTTATTTATCGTTTGGCTTCCGCCAGCCCCTTACTCTGTACTATTGTTATTACTGTTAGGCAGACCTTTGGTAATCACGGATTACTGGCCAGTTACGATACTAAACCCTTAGGGGCGGATTTGGGTCGTGACATATATGATGCCACCATATATTCAAGTACCAACTTCAATGCAGGTAATACTTATTTTTTTGTGTTCTTGTCTTTACATTTTTAAATTTATTTGAGTTCTTTTCAAGAAATTTCAATTTCTAGGATGTACATGTATCTTCGAATATACTCCCACATATGAGGCAACCATTAACTGAAGTACCAAATTCAATGCCTTGGACATGGAATGGAGAGCCTCAATATGCCAACTTCTGAGCTTTACTTCAAGGATCTACTTTGCTTAACTCATCACAATGCTTGACTAACACACATTACAATCAGGTATGTAACATGAATTATTGTGGATATCCTTCAATTCTATACTTTGAACTCATTCTGATTATGTTTTTTACTTCATAGGTTCCCAATCTAAACATTATTCAGAATTCCACTACACCAATATATCCAGAAATTCTTGGAGACCGATGAAGATTGTTGCAAGTGAAAGATTTTTGTTAACATTAAATTTGGGAATGTTTATTATGAACATTAAATTTGGGAATGTTTATTGTCAATTTGGATTGTGAATATTTTTATTGCTATACGGTCCATTGAATCGTAGAAGTGATTTTTTTTGGGTATGAAATTTTATTTTTGGGACAATGAAGAATATCTCGCAAGAGTTGATTTTGTAGATATTGTTGTTGGTAAGCATATTTGATGAGGTGGGTATGAGATTGTTTACAAGCAGGACAACACTAATGTGGTTGAGTTGAATTCACTGAGATTGTGCAATTGGATTGTTTACAAGGATGTGTTGTTTACAAGGATGTATTGATGAGCATTTCTGCCTGAATATATGGCTTCTAGATTTTGAAACTGTCACCATCATGTTTCATAAATTATGGTTGCTTTTGTGCTGTTTCATAAATTATGGTTGCTTTTGTGCTGTTTCATAGAGTTTCCTTTAACTTCAGTCTAATATGCTGCAATTAATGTGGAAAAACAAGAAAAGGAAATCTGATCTCAAAGATAGTATTTGTGTAAACATCTCCTGCCTGATGTTCAAAGATAGTCTTTGTGTAAACTATCTTTGAAGACTATCATTGAAATCTGATTTGTTATAAAATAGATTGGCTTAGACTAAGGGAACATCAGATTTCAAAGACTATCATTTGTTACACAAAGACTATCTTTGAAGAAGCCAATCACTTTATTAGTTGAACATCATTTGTTATGTAATTGATTCAGGCATGGAACATTAGAATTTAAAAAGCCAATCTCTTTGCAGCCCTTGAGCTCTCAAGAAAAGGATAGCAGGGATGGCTTGGCTAAGACAATGTATTCCCGCTTGTTTGACTGGTAAGATAAGATTGTTTGGATTATTGCTTTCTCTCATATGGTTGTTTCTCTGGAGGTTTCTTGTTGCTAGGAATAACAAA